GTTACAATATTATACTTGTACCTTACAACAACAACAACAACAACGAAAAAAAAAAAGAGAGAGAAGGAAGGAAAGAAAGAAAGAAAGAAAGAAAGAAAGCTTTGAATAATAATGTGGTATAGCAACATTTCTTTTTCTTTGGCATACCCACCTCAGGGATATGAAAATAAAGAATAATTCAATGTTCTTACCAAGATTCGCATTGCATGAATTCAGGAGCTGCAGATTTTCCTAAACATACGTAACCTCTTCTACTCACAACCCACTGCAGCCCCTTATGGGCCAATGTCCTGTGCCTAATTATTTGCTGGATGTTTGAAAATGTCACCCACACTTCCCTCACAATTTGCTGCATGTGCATTCAGGAGAATAAATGCAGTGACCTGTACCAAATTTCACTAATAGGCATAATACACAAAGCAGTTTAAGTCAAATTAATACTGTGCTTATGTGTGTACACTATGGTACAGATTCCTCTAAACACCAAAACTGAGACACAGCCACTGTGTCTAACTGTAAAATGCATGTAAGGGTGGTGGCATGTAAACTGCATGTCAAACCACAACTGTTCCATTTTCTAACACCATCAAATGAAAACTTTTAAGTTAACACAGTTGTAATGAACACAACTCTCTATCACATACATGGATACGATCTGTACCATCTGTAGCTCCTCTGCCTATACCGTTACACTCACTGCACAGGTCTTATTTCATTGTGTCACACAGCCACAAACTGAGATGGTGAAATGAATTTCACCAACATGCTTTATGGGGTGGGGGAAGAAACAAAGAAAGAATGAAAGGAGGGAGGGAGTCTAACAATTTTCTTTCACAATGTCATGTGGATTAGCCCATGAAATTATTCCATATTTCATTAAAGAGTGAAAGTAAGCAAAATAAATTGATTTGAGAGTGTCAGTGTTGCCGATATTGAACACAGACTTAACTGCATACTATGCTCCATTTAGCTTTGGAACCAACTGATCAATTTGGTTTTTCCAATTTAAATGATTATCAGTTTGTAAGATAAGAAATTTGTGTTTACTGCCTCTTATATATATTTATCATTATACACAATGTTTAATGCATACTGTGGTGAGCTTTCTCTTATGAATTTTATCACATTTGTTTTATCTAGATTCAGGGACAGCTTGTTTTTCAGAAAACCACCTACTCATCTGAGAGAGAACTTTGTTTCATAGTATGCAGAAATCATCTAAATTTTTACTTGAAATTATGACACTAGTGTTATCAAGAAATATTAAGGGTAGGAGGAAGTTCATCTATATAGATTAGGAAATACAAAGGCCCTTTCTGTTCTTAATATGTGGGTTCCTTCAAAAGTCACGGCAACATAATTTTTCTGAAATTTCGAAAGCTCCGGCCGGAATTTCCAAACTTGCCGCCAAGAGATGGCAATGTCTGATTTCTAATAATGCCGCTAGATGATGGGGAAGTTCAATAACAACGAAGCAAGTCCAGCGCAAGGTCAGTCTGATCATAACCTTCGTCCTTCACGACAATGCAACCGTCCACACAGCAAACAGCATCAAGAACCGTTTACGATGTTGGGGATGGGAAGTACTTCACCATCCTCCATGTTCACCTGACCTTTCACCAGGTGACTATAACTTAATACCCAAATTGAAACAGCCATTGTGAGGGAAATGCTTTCATACATGAGAGGACATTTCCAACGTGGTTCAGCATCAGATGACAAGATCTGGAGATGGTGAAGCTGATGGTATTGGCCGTCTTCCTCATCGCTGGCAGCGAGTGCTTGATACACTTGGAGACTACGTTGAAGGTTGCTAATCGTAATGTAAGAATTCAGATTTAACCCATATTGAATTTTTTATTTCTTAATCATAAATGACAGTGGTGCATAAAAGTGTAGTGAGGAGTGTTGTTAAGAAGACTGTAATGACAGAATTATTGCTCTGAAGTCAAAGGTGGAACCGGTAGATATACTGATTATGCAAGTGTACATGCAGTATGAAGTATGAAGAGTATGAAGATGATGAAGTGGAAAAAGTGTATGACACAATTAAAGAAATTCTTCAGGAAGATAGAAGAGGTGACACAAACAGCATCATATTAGGAGACTGGAATAGCACTGTTCGAGATGAATCATATCAGAATATTGTTGGATCACATGGACTAGGAGGATGGAATCACAGGGGTCAAATGCTTATTGACTTTTGTGAAAGAAATGGACTGATTGTTACCAACACTTGGTTCAAGAAGCCAAAGAGAAGACTTTACACATGGAAGGCACCTGGGGATTGGAGGCAGCATCAGCTGGACTACATCCCTGTGAAACATCGATTCAGAAACAGTGTGAAGGATGTGAAGACGCTGCCTGGGGCAGATATTGACTCTGACCACAACTTACTGTTGCCAACTTTCGAACCAGGTTGAAGAAAATTATAAGATTCCAAAAGCGCAGACCTAGATGGGATTTGGAGAAGTTATATGCTCAAAGACAAAGCATGTAAGAGACCCTAGAAGAGAAACTCAGTGGAATTGAAAGTGAAAGCGGAAATGCTGAAGTGCAGTGGAACAATACTGTGACGTGTTGCACTATGGAGGACAACCCCTCCCTCCCCAGCGGTGACATAACACGGGATGCCGCCGTTGCTACTCAGCAGTAAACAACTCCTGACAGCGTTGCTAGGCTGTCTGCAAACACGGCGTCAGACAACAGTGGTGCCTATTACATAAGTGTTTTCTGTGTTGTCCGTAACGGGGCTAAAGAAGGAGCAGCGAAGACTATTCAAGTTAGTTACGAGTTGGCCAAGGAAGAGTATGCAGTCTAGTATTTGTAATACTGCAGATAGCAGTAGTTGTGAGATTGTAAACTTTGTGACTGTATGAGCGAGTGTGGAATAAAATTCGCTATATCCAATAAGGCGTGAAGTTATTTGTCGTGTTATACACCCAACATGTGACAATATAAAAGAATGCATGTTAGATACTACTAGTGAATTGGCTGGTAAAGTTGAGAAGATAGCAAGAAAACCATGGGTTACACAGGAGATGATGAGTAAAATGGAGGAGCGAAGGAAATGGAAGAATGTAAACAATGAAGAAGGTAGGAGGAAATACAGGAGACTGAGGAATGAATTGAAAAGAGCCATGGACAGGGCCGAAAAGGAATATCTTGAGAAGATATGTAATGAGATTATAGAATTTCAAAGGACAGGACATTATGATTTGATGTACATGAAGACAAGAGAACTAGGATGGAAAGAGAACCATGGGATTCAAAATATTGGCATCGAAGACTCCCAGGGGAACAGAACAGAAGATCAGAGGCAAGTGCTGAAAATTTGGGAAAATTATATTACAGAACTATATGATCGACCTAATC